CGCCCCAAAGTCTAACAGCAGCCCTTGATTCCTTGCCCACGCCGTCAAAACCTCGGCCTTTGGGGATCCGTGCGAGCCCGCTTGCGACCAAAGTTCGATCCGCCTCTTCGGCCTATTGAAGGGTTAGTACGAAGACCCGATCATACAGGGACATTCACAAAGCACACATTCATACGTACGCATACATCAAACCCAGACAAAACAGAGAAAGGAAAGGAAAAATTATTGTTTATTTTGAAAGAGAAAACCCGTCGGCTGGTAGGCAGCCGCCCGACAACGCGAAAGGGTCCCCCAAAGGGAGAACCGCACGAGCAACCCGGACATCGGGTAATCATCCATGATGATAGGTTCACGACAGAACAGTCCCACTCCTCACCACGTAGACCTACCCGCAAAACTCACTAACGGATTCTCTAAGGACCACAGGGTTCGTATAGAACCCTGTTATGGTCGCTAGCCTAGACCTACACTATGGCTGTCACTACTGAACCGATGGCTGATCAGGAGGCATTTAAGGAGATCCCCCGTAACTCCGCAAGAATTCTTTAACGTCGCAATCAGGACGACGTGATCAGCTTGGTTTTGCATGTTGCACAGCCCGCAACTCAACCTTTCGGGCCTACCGTGCCACACTGAGCAGCCCGCCGGTCTGTACCGGTCCTTGGGAGGGTTCGTATCCCCCGGGACAGTCGAGTCGTCAGACACAGTCTTTAGCCTTACTAGGTCCGGTAGGGGTTTGGGTCAACAAGGCCCTCAACACTTAAGACTGCCTGGTGTGTCAGCCCTAACTCCGTCGTTCAAGCCCACCGTGTCATGCCCAATCTAATCCCCGCCAGTCAGGACCGGTCCTTGGGAGGGTTAGGCCTCTGGGACAATGAGATTAGACATTGTATTAGCTCTACAAGGTCAGGTAGGGGTTTCGTCATCCAGGCCCTATCCTTCATCCACAGAGTGCTATCACTTAGGACAGAAGAGACTCAATGCAGAAAGGAGAGACAGACAGACTCAGACTCAGCAAGTACCGCAGGGTGAGGGGATAGGCTAACGGCTTGGCGAGATGTTACCAACTCCAGCTTGGTCAAAGCCTTGGTCAACAGCTCCGGTCAACGCCTTGGTCAACGCTGAGTCAACGCGGACAACCCTCGGTCAACCCTCCGGTCAGCTATGGCTGCCGGCTCCTTCTCTCTCACCAACCTTCACTCTCTTTCTCGCCTTCGTCACCCTCTTTCCTTCTCGCTATTTCTCTTTTTTTTTTTTTTCTTTTTTTTTCTTTTCACCCTCGGCTATGTCTGTCTTCCACCTCGATGTCTCCTCCTTCCTCCTTCTCTACTCCGTCTCCCTTCGTCCCCTCCGTGTCCAAGCTCCG